TTATTCAGGCTTTTGAGGGCTTTTTCTGTTCCAATTGATGTTAAAGAATACAGAAGACAAGGAGAACTTTAAGTCCAGTCTGTATGTGATTTGATGAAACAATTGCCTTAGGACCTGCTGACACTCTAATTGGAGTCTGCATAATGCAGAATCAGAACCTTACTTAAAGCAGTGCTTTTTTTATTCTGATAAGAGTCCCTTTGTTAATTTCATTTAAATAACTCATTTAAGTCTTTAGTAAAAGCTTAAAATCAGTGAATAGCTCTCACTGACTTCATTGAAATCTAGATTTCATCACCTCTCTGCAAATAGTTGTGATGGTGTGCTGCTCATATCTTGTTTTTCTTCTCTGGTGGCTTCCTCCCTATGTGTTTTTGGGGTCTAGTGTTGCAACACCTGAAGACAGAAAGAGGGTTTAAGATTTAAAGATCTTGATCTGCATGATAAAAATATTTTGTCACGTGCAATTAAATTCAGTCTTGGCAGTTCTCATTATTCTGATTACTTTTTCTCCTCTCAGTTCTTAATGTTTAGGATCACTGTACTTTATATGAAAAGATGAAATTTTCATATGCAAAAATCAAATTCCTAGTTCTCATGTTTCCAGAAAAAAGCTCGGAAGCATGAATTTTCAATATTCACTTCCAAGTAAATGAGTTGAATAAAAAAGAAACCCCAAAACCATACTTCCAAAAAAAAAACCCAAAAAACCCACCCCATCAAAAACTCTGAACAGAAAAAAATGAAAATCAAATAACCCCTTAATTTCCCAGGAAGAGACTCCTAAGTTTTGAATTTTTGAGATTATTGCTGTTACTAAAAATGAGTGTGATTTTTATTTTGACTCTTCTTTTGTGGGTTTTATGTTGGCTTGTTTACATTTCAAATTTCTCTCAAAATTGTCTGCACCATTTACATCTCTAATTAAATAAAACCTTGCACAAGGACAAATTTCACACTTAGCATTAATTGTGAAATGCAATTAATAGCCTGAAGCTTGCATTTTTGTTGCAGTTGATCTCAGGTAGGGCTAAAGAAGATGAGAAAGGTTTTTACAGTAAATGGTGAGCAAATTCATTTCCAGAGTAAGGATGTGGCCAACCAAAGAACCTGAATGGAGTTGCTTCATGTGCTGAGACTAGGCGAGTCAAGAAGGACAGAAAGATTTTGGAATTCTTTGGAAAGCAATTTCAGAGATTAACTTTCAGTCACCAGCAGAGGAAGTAGAAGAACCCTGGATTTTGAGATGTGGTTATACTTGAAGCTAGTTTAACATCAGGGCATTTATGAATTTCCTCTGCAGTATGGTATAAAATAGCCATCCTCATTTGCTTTCCAATCCATGTTATATGTGAGCAGCTTTCAGTGCAAACGTTGAGATCAGTCAGGGTCACCAGCATATGTGTGCTGTTTTATTAACTAAAAAAACCCAGTGGTGTTCCATAGGCTTGATAATTCATTGGAAGCATAGTTCTAGCCCAGAGACCAAACTTGCAGAGGAGTTAACTGAACTAGTGACATTTCCTTATAGTGACTGGTTATAAATTCAGAAAGACAAATGGTCAGGATATTAAAAATGAGTCTTTGCTCTGTACATTTCTGAAAAGCAGTAGGATATGCAAGATTTCATTCTGCTTGTCAGTAAATGTAGGATCTATAGGTCTGGGTAGAGAGGACTCCCTGCTTTGCTTTTCAGATTTCCACTCCTTTAGAAGAGTGAACTAATGATTGGATTGCTACACAATTGTCATTCTTTCAAGAATGTTTTTTTTAGTAGTGGGTGAAGGATCTTTTTATATTACTTGTCCAATACTTACTTGACATGCAAACAATGTTTATATATACTGGATTCTACATACATGATGTTTAAACATTATTTTCAGTGTATTTAACTGATGTCTTTCTTTAGAAAGCTATTGGCCCATAAACCCTTTTCTAATAGCCAAAAACATGAAATCTACATAGTGCTTAAATTCAGAATGTGTTCTGGTTTGAACAATATTCTCTTTGCTTTCAACATGTATCTGCTTGGTTTTTTTTCAAGGTATTTTTAAATACCTTTTTTTTTTCTCCAAATTGAGAAAATGAAACAAATTATTTTAATGAAACACATTTATTTTAACAGAAGTAGTTTCTTCATGAGAAAAATAAATTATAAGAATAATTGTGCTTTTAAAAGACAATTAATTAAAAACTCTGTGTGATGACAAATTTAACATCTTGTCTGACACATTGAGAAAAAGAAAATGCCTGGAATTGCAGAAGCAGAATAAAATGTTCCATTTCACAGCAAGGCCAAGCCTGAGTCTTGTAATTATTTCAAAGGGAGTAAAGGTCATTTTCTATTTGCTACATCTGTATTATGTGAGGCTTCTGTAAAGGCTTACAGAAAGCTAACTCATGACCTATTTAGATTGCCCAGATTTCAAAGTCAACTTATGCTGTCACAAATCTGATAAAGTAGATATATTCCCTCTTTAAGCACTGACATACATGATGTCCAAAACAGGCTTTTTATTTATAGCTCCATAAGACAAGAATTTCAACTTTAAGATGCCAGTAGCTGTGAGATCAGAACATGATTTGTCTCTTACTGCTGTGTTAATCCTTTAGGGGAAGAGTTGTTTGTAATTAGATTTCAGCACCTATTTCTTGGGCTATTTTTCTGGTGTGGATTTGTTATATAACTTTGCAGTAGTTGTTGCTTACATTTTGAGATTGGAAGAATTTTCCTTCTGCTGTGATTGCATTTTAATGCATACTCATTCAGTAACACCATGAGTCAGACAGTACCTTAAAAATGCACCTGTGCACAAAAAGTGTGTGCAGAAAATGCATGTGTAGCTATCTTGCTGTACATGTGACCATTTAAATGAATATGTCTATATATTTTTTTTTATGATCAGTAATCAAGCTTTATGCACAATTTTGAAGCTGGGCTTTGAATATTCACTTTTGCAGGTGGTTTGTACTGGAAGACCAAAGGTGACATGTCCATTTTTCAACCTCTATAGAGCCCAGAACTTCCAATAAAATAAATAATTCCAGTAAATAATAATTCCAGTAAAGTTAATAATTGAATGAGGGATTAGGCACTGTGCTTTTAAGCCTTTGTAAGAAAATCAGCAATTATGTGTCTATATTAAAATGAATAGTAGTCAAGTGTATCGTACATTGCTTGATGTATTACTTCAAGTCTTTCTCTTCTTTCTTGACAATACTTCAAGGGAACAAGCATAGAGCAGGTCAGGATGGAAGGTGAAGGTGTTTCTATGCTGCATTTGGTTACCACCAGCTTAATGGACATGGAATACTCTACCTGTTTCTCACAATTTGCGAGCACTTCTAGGCAAGCTTTTAAAGCAAATGACATTGACATGAAACAAATGATCCAGCAGTTGGTTTCAATAAGAATAACTATATGCAGACCAGGTGGAGTATTGCTGGTTTTGGTTTTTATAAATGGGATCACATAAGACTTAGTGAGTGTGAAGTGCATGAAGGGACAGAGCAGATAATGAATTGCTCTGATTTAGTGAATGGACTGTGAGTAGTGGTTAAAAGGGAAACATGCAGATGTTAAAATTTTGCAGGATGTCTCTGTAGGATCAGGATCAGCATACCTAAAAGATAATGTGGTGGAGATAGAGTGAGAAGTGTGTGAGATGCTGCAATTGAGCTGGGAGAAGTGGTTTATGAGCTGGAAAATGAGAAAGGTGTCTTCAGCATTCGCCTGTGTGGTATAGAGGAGAAGTTGTCTTCACCTTAGAGCTGGAGAGCTTTATTTGCAAAACTGTAATTGTGTTGAGGATGTCTTGAGTAAACAGACCCATTTGTGCAGGCCACTTGTATTTTAGAGCAAAAGTCATTTGGAACCCATGTGTTTGACCATTTTCTTGTTGGTTGCTGCATGTGCTTTCTCTACGTGACTTTTCTTCAGCTGTCCCACAAGCAGGGGTTGGCCATAATGACTTTGAAATCAGAGTGCTCTGTACACGAACTGAATGTCAGGATTTGAAAAATATCTTTGGAGGTTCTGAAGCAGAATCTACTTTTGAAAATGCAGTTACACATATATAGGTTGAAAAATACAGATTTAGCTTTTCCTGCTCTTGAACTTGCCTCCTTATGCCTCTCTCTTTAACCTTTTAAACTTAGTGATTTTTTTCCTTGCTGCTTCTTTCTTGGACATTGTTACCCCAATGTTCTTATTTAAAAGCTGCCAAGAAAAAAAGTCTTTCAGGTTGTTGTCTCTGTTCAGGGACAGAGCACAACCTTCAGAGACTGAGATTAGCATTGTACCTGTTTCCAACCAATTTTATTTTGCTTTAAATCTTCTTCCTTTGCTACAGTGTTCCTGTGGTGATAGGGAACTTTGATCATGTACTAACATTAACACAAACAGCATTCAACTTTAACCTTCAGATCCACCTCCACTGTGATTTTTTTTCCCTCACACATCTCATTTTCAGTCTTCCCTGGGTGTAAACAAGCTTCTGATTATAGGTAAAATGGACAAACTGTGGTTTAAATAGCTAAAAACAACAGTTTACATTTGTTAGCAAAAAAGATCTTTTATAAAGGAAACTACTGTGATGTGAATCTTCACCCTTGAATGAATAATTCCTTCTCTAACCTGGTGATCAACTTTCTGAAACTAAGTTAGCCCACTCATCTATTTAAACTCTAAAGTGCTTAATTTAAGAAACATTGCATCCTATGTTTTCGCTAAAATAAATAATATCCTTTATTGATAATCTGAACTGAAACTTAAAATATGCTATTTTGTAATTTCTGTGCCAGCCCACATATATAAAAGCAAAAACCTTACATAAAAAAATTGGTAAGCAAGATTTGAAGGGGAAGTATGTTTTGTAAGGATGGAGTCCAATGTTTTCTTTTATAAGCACGAAGCCTAAACCCAGTATCATTCCCAGAAGCCAATATGATGGATGAATGAGTGGATGTTTAACTCCATTTCCTTTTTCCTTTTTCCTCAGGTTCTGATGCTTGCGTGTGCAGATTTAGAATGTGTCCCTGGATTCCAGAAAAAGGCTTTTTATATTGAAGAACCATTTCAATTCATAGAGGACCAGCCAGTTCTGAAAAGTACGTTATTTTCATGTTACTATTCTGCAAAAATAATAATTTCTTATTTATTGATATCTCTCCTGCCATTTACCAGAAAGCTGGTTTTGTACATAAGATTTAGAATATTGCCAGGATTCTGTCAGGGTTCCCCTGCACTAATCCTATATCTCTACAGACTTTATTCCATGTATTAGAGTGATAAAACACTATATATAGTGCACTAGGACAATATGAATATTGTAACAATTTAGGATCACCCACTTAAAGGAAATTTACACTGAAATTTTTTATAGTCTTTCTTTTAATCTGGAAATCAGAGCTTTCCTATCAACATTTTGCTATTAATCAATCTCTGAAACTCAGATTTAGAAGCTTATATCTTAAAAGTTTAATTCAAAGCTGGTGCAAATCCAAGTCTTTACATGGAGTTCAAAGGCTGGATTAAACTTGTAATCATCAGTGATAGCAAATTGTTACTAAATGTGTTGTACAACTGGGATATTCAGTGATATTTCCAATGACCAGGTGTCACATTACAAAATCCAATCTGTTGCTGTATATTCGAAGTATTAAACTGAAGGAGGTTTAACAGCAGGACTTCTGTCTCAGTCCTGGTGTTAGCTCATTTGACTACTCTTGTGTTACAACTTGTTCTTTCAGTTTTGTTGTGTTGGTACTTGAAGACTGTCAGAGTAAGCTAGTATCTTACCTAGTGGTCAATGATTTTGAAGACTTAAAGATACTAAGCACTCTCATTTTCATACTTTTCAAGCATATCAGTATTTTTACATGTGATACCTATTACTAACAGTTTCGTTGTTATGCTTGGTAGCTTGGTGTTGAGGCAGGAATTCTTCTAGGTATGCAGCATGACACAGTAATGTCTGGCTACATATGATTTGTATACAACATTTAGATCCTATCATGTGGTATCATAGGAATATCACTCAAATGCACACATTTCCAGTTTCAGTTCCCTTTAGCTATTACCTCTATATATTGATAAATTCTCACTGTTACACATGTTTGGATGAAGGTATAATCTGTGCACATTTGCTTTAAAAAAGCCTAGTAACTGGTGAAAACATCAGAATTAGTTGCTACAGTCTATTGAAATGACTTTGTTAAAGTTGCACAGGTGCTAAAATAAACCTTCAGGATAGCATTTTTAGTCTAAGCATTTGATAAATTACTTAGTCTGAGTTGCATTTTCAGAGAAAATTTAGATCACAAGTAGCAAGTCTATTCACAGAGATAAAATTTGTTGTTTAGTTTAGAAGAGATTTCAAACTTCTGATTTCTTTAAGCAATTTTGCTTACTTTGAAATGTTTATTCTAACGACTTGATGAATGCATTTTGGCTGCTTTGGAACTCTGAGGCTATAGTGTGGCCACATCTACTGATTTGTGTTTGTTGTCCTAAGCACCTGGAGGATGAGCTGGTTAAGCCAAAGTTAACGGGGCTATTCTGTGGTGACCCAGCAAATGACACTGACATGAAAACAGCACAATAATTAAGATGCCACCATTAATGTGAGGAGGAAGGAAGAGCAGGAGATTTAGAAATGCCTGGAAACAATCTTCAGAGTTAAATCATTTTAATAAGCAGACACTAGATTGGGCTAATATGTAATGTTCGACAAAGGCAGGATGTCAATGCATGATTCTGGTTAATTCAATCACTTGTAAACAGTATGTCCTTCATGCAGCAGCAATAAACCTCTGCAGTTTCTTCATTTTATCTGTCAACAGAATTGGTATTTTTAATTGTCCGTTTGAATACACTTTGCATGCTCTTGCATATTTTTTATACCCATTACCAAAGACTGATGTAATTTAGCAGTTACATTGCAATGTGAGACTTACCAGTGCTATGTAAAGTAATAGAGTGAATATGCAGAGCAGGCCTATAGCAGAGATTATTTTTGTAGTCCTCAATAATCCAAGGAACTCTTTAATTCTTTTTTGAAGTGCAACAAAAGGGTTTTTCTTATTTTACTCTTCAATTAAAAATAGGACCTACTGTACATTTAATTGCTATTATCTCTCTTGTAATTAAATATAGGTTATGGCTGGTTCTTATGTATTTATTACTTCTGCACATGGCAATGTTAATTATATTTTACATCTTCTTCGTGGGAAGAAGAAAAGCCCAAACCGAGGTTACAGAATCTTATTCTGATTTGTATCAGTTCTTATCAAAACCTACTTCTAAGTTTATAATTATGATTACCTCAGTGCCCAGACTATTTTATTTTCCTAATTTTTTCATTTAGTTTTCCTAAATTTGAATTTTTTTTTCCCATCAGACTCCTTTATCTCCTTATGACTTGTGTTTTCTATGACCACAAACAAAATCAGGCATTGCTTGCCTACTTCTCGTCTGGCCATGTCTTTTCCTTCAGCGCAAATTTTTTAAACCAGATGTTCCCTTGATGTAGTGGGAAAGAATTCAGAGACTCATTTTCTGAAAATGCTAGAGGATTTGTGCACATAGTGATGGTTTTAACAGTGAATTGTGCTACCTGATTTTTCTTCCTTATAACATTTTTAGTTTAGAATTAGTACGATCTTAACAATTAACTAGAAAGGATCATAAAGATTACTACATTTTTAATAAAGTGGCAGTTGACAGCATTTAATTTCAGCTTTTACACCTTTCTGAAACATCTGTGGCCATGAAATGCTTCCCTATCAGAAATCTTGTCATTGGCAAGGCTGACAGCTCACTGGTAGTGACAATGCTCTGTCATGCCAGGCTGATAGAAAGTTCCTAATAAGACTCATCATATGTGGAAATGTAATTATGTTACATTAATCATGTTTATACTTAACATACATGAGTCTTGTCTTTTGGGGGTATTTTTAATTGACAATGAATCAAATAGTGCACTTGAAAAACTGAGGCAATTAACATTAAGGCGTTAGGCGATGTGTTGTGCATGCTAAACTGGGGAATACATTGCTAGTGATTTAAATGTCAAAACAGAGGAAGTTTTGACCCTTACTCAAAGCTTTAATTTGGATGTTAATTAATGACTGACCTCTTCTGTCTCTTATGTGATAGATTGCATGTTTCAGAGCTCGGGCTGGTTCAAGATCAGGGCTTTGTCTGTCTGCATTTGGATACTTTTTTATTCTGTGAATTTTAACAAAGACTTTTCTATTCAACCATGTTGAAAATCTTTTTTTACCCGTATGATGGGAAATATATTTGTCTGCTTACCATTAATGCTTCAAAGCAGTTCTTGTGTTGTCTAGCCAAGCTGTAGCCTCCAGCAAGCTTTCCTTGTTGCTCGGGAAAGAAAAGACCATTCCTACTATTGCAATGTCATGTGTGTACATGGATTACAGTGCAAATCACACTTACATAAAAACATTTCCTATTGATTCTCTGATGTTGTTATGGTAGATTTGGGATTTATCACATCCATACTTCCCACTGATTACCATGCTGTTGACTGTGCTGACAGCCTCTTTCTGTGGCTCTTTCACACTATCAATGTTATTGCTGTTACTCTTCTACTTATTCTGATCCATACACTTGATTCACATGCTTGTGATCTCACACATTTGATATATCTGCCCCTCTTCACTACTACTTCACCTTGTGTAAAGCCAATGTGGCAGCCACATTCACCATACTACAATATGTAGAGCCCTCTACAGAGTTTTTACATGAGGTTTATATGTGAGTTTTAACCCTTGGTGCTGAAGATTGCAGGTTTAGGGTAATTGGAACTACAGGTGGTAGTTGTAGCTTGCAAAAGAACATGTTCAAGTGAGGTAAGGTTTTTGACTTAGTGATTTCTTGCAGGGAAAACTGTCTAGACCTTTGGATAATAGCTAGATAACTATGGCTTTTCATTTATTCAGGTGTACATAACTATAGTTCATCGCCATTGAAACACAGTTATAGCTTTTCAAAATAAAGTAGTCTTTAATGCATATTCAATTCTACAAACATCTTAAAATTACTTTCATTTCACATAAATCACTATGTTAACAAATGTTCTTCTTTAGAAAATGTTGAAAAATGACATGTTCCTAAGCTTGGCATGTGGTAGCAGGTTCTACAGAAATGTCTCAACTTCTCTACCCAGATAGCAGAATCCTTTTTATACTCTATATCTTAATGTGCATAAACCCATGTAGAGAACTTGAATAGCAGAGCTTCAGTTCTGACACTTGTACATATGATTAAGACTAGGCATCTGGGACTCATGCCATGTGGACAGAAATATTGGTCAGGATTTGAAGCCAGATATTAGGGGTATCTCTTAATCACATTATTCTCATTTAAAAGGCTGTAGGAAGCCAAACTCATGCTACCAAAATTTCAGGAAATACCTTGAGACATACAAAATGGTTGTAAAATTTTGGAAGTAAATTTTGGAAGTGGCAGATTGGGAACTTTACAACATGTTCATGGAGGCAGAGTGAGAAGGATCTTCAAAGAGAAGATCCTTCCGCACATAAGTACTTGAGGCATTGCTTCTTAGTTGAAGCTTGATATCTATCTCATACATAGAGGGAAAATGTTGCCTGCATACGTATTGCAAACGTGTTGTGACTAAGTAATATGGAACATCTCAGATGTGCCTCTGAATAGATATATGCAGATGGATGTTGCAATATAACAGAATATTATATCATGTGTTTAACTGCTTTTGCACATGATTAAAGGAAAACAAAAAGGGAAAAAATTGTGGTTGAGTGCCAGGTGGTCAGACAGTTGCTTTCCAAACAATGTGTGTCAGCTTATTAACAGGACCTGAGGGAAAATGAGTTAAAAATAGACTGTTTGATTTTTATGCATATGCATTTAATTAAATTGGTTTTGGAAAAGGAAGGACATTATACTGAACAATTTCAAAGAATAGTATAGTCTCTGAAAACTTCTCTAGTGTTAAGTCAAAATCTCTCAGGGATGTAGTCAGCTCTTGTAGAGTAATGGAGGGAAAGCTCTTGTAAAGTAATGCTGGTGAAACCTCCTCTTGAGGAGTTCAAGGTGGAGA